TGACTATTTATCATCCCAATACATGTAAGTGTAAGGAATAAGGGTCTGTTCTCATACGTTGAAATTCAGTTCATTTCAGTTCAGTTCAGTTCAGCTCCTAATTTCCTTCTCTTATAAAACATTCAGTTCATTTTAGTTCAGTTCAGCTAAGTTCAGCCAATGAAAACAGGCCCTGAGGGAGTATTCACTTCACCTGAATTTCACCTATTTTATTTTATTGGATGGTGAACTTATCTTCTCTAAATTTATTAGCAATTATATTATTTTATATTAACTTATCAACCAATATCAATAGAGTTGTTTTCACCTAACTCATTTTAACTTTTACATTAGCTTATCTGATCAAAATTTATTAGCCCTTATATTATCTTATTAAACTTAAATTTGGCAATGAGGTGAGATTGATCTACCCCTTTAATTTATCTCATTTAAATTTCAACCGTTTATATCTTAATTTAATTTATCGTAAACTTATTAAACCTAAATAAAACAGGCGAAAATAAAATAAGGAGAACATAGCCTAGCTAAGTAACACATACTTTTCGTAGAATTTTTTTTGTCAGAAACTAAATAATAAAACCCATATTTTGTACAAAATACATAAAAATAAAAAAAAATTAAATAAAAAAAGGTTGAAAGAAACTACTTAATAAAGGGTAAAATGATGTAAATTACTACCTCCTCTAGCCGTATTTCCACCATAATGACCTAATAATCCGACATTGACCCACCACAAAATACCCCTGAAATCACCATCTCGTAGCCCAAAACTACCCGCATCAACTCGGAATATCCCCCAACAATCCCAAAATAGTTTTATTACCACCTAGAAAACGAACCCTCATGGTGGTTTCGGGGTTATTTTGAGATGGATCAATGCAGGAAAATAAGGTCAATGGTGGAAATTTGGCCTGAGATAGTTCGTATCTTACGAGATTTTACCTTTTATTAGGTAGCTTTACCAAAAAAATTTATTAGGTAATTTAACATAAAATCACAGTTTTATTAGTTAGTTTCTAACCTTTTTGTTTTTTTGTTTTTATTTTTGGGAAATTCTCAACGATAAACCCTAACTTTTGCTACGCACCAATGGTGACCTCCTTTTTTTTTTATTATACTAAATGACCTTAGTTAAAAATTTCATCTCGCTCATAACCTTATGTCATTAAATATTAACTATGGTTAGATTTATAATTAAAAAAAAAAAACTCAAAAAATTAACTCAACCACCAAAAACCAGCCACCACCTGCTCAGCCACCATCTCCCTTTCCGGCAACTACCCCGGATTCTTCCGACCGCCGGCCACAATGACAGTTTTAAGTTTCGCCCCTGGTTTTAAGTCTTATAACACAATATAGAAACCAGATTATAAAACGAGGCCACAATGACAGTTTGAGAGTACTTCTTTCATCAGTATTCCATTGACCAAGCAAATACCAATTAATTCTATCAGAACAATTAGACACTAATTAACATATAATCCGTACTGTAATAATAAAAGGTATCTAGTGGATGTAGTTAAATAAATTAATAGCCTATCACTCTTCTTGTTGATACTCTCAAAGCTTACATTAATTAAGAAATAAATAGCACGAAGTATTAATGAAAGTGAGTCCAAGTCAACACTACCGAAGATTTTAAAAATAATCTATTTTTTAACCCACTGATCGAATAGATGTAGACCATGTAGTAGTAATAATGTTCGTGAGTAACATTGTTCCATTTCATATTATTTGCAACAATTAAACATATATTCTCTTTATTTTATGTTAAATTGTTGCTAATAATATGAAACAAAAGTAGTACTAAGATGTATTAGGTTATTATGATCACTTGAATATAACTTGAGAAAAGGACTTATACTGGGTTATTAGGATCCTTTTAATCCATTATTCTTTTTTGCCAAGGACGTTACATCAATGCATAAGCATAATAATATGAATGTAATGACGATATACATAACAACATCACAACTATTATTCCATACACAAGATATTCTACCAAATTACACTCTTTCGAGGGCCATCTAGAGTCCTAAATGTCTTATATACAATCATGTTGATCGAACTAGTTACTCGTATATTGATAAATTTTGAAACAATATGAAATATACCCACTTTAAAAGAGACTCACAACCTGGGCCTGGGCAACCCGAACAAGGAGGAAGAGAGTTTGGTCCACAAACAAGACTTTGGAGCTTCCATACTAAAACCAATTGGCAATAGTAGGAGGTACTCCTCTACCTTATAAAGTGAAACCATCTCTCCTTTTTCTCCAATGTGGGACACTCATAAGTGGGATATAATGGGTTTCAACATATACTGTATTGATTAGTACGTAGGGTTATGTGGTATTGTTTGACATTGAATATTGTAACGTAATTCTATATCATGTATCTCCGTACAATACAATTCTATCCTTTATATGATTCATTATACATCCAATACATAATTTATTCATTAAAGAATTATATAGGAATAATCTTACTAAGGATCCTAAGATTGTACATTTAACAATTGACATCATGATGATATTAACAACATTGTACTTGTATAACATATCTTGCACAAAGTTGAAAAAGTGCATGAGCCATGCCCCTAACATGTAATTAAGTCATCCATTGAAATCTTCACAATAATAATAATTTTTTTTTTTTTGATAATATATATAGTTATACTTCTACTAGGCTACTATTATAGTACAGAGTAACTTGTAATTATCATAAACTAAACTATTAGTTACAACTATAATATATCTAACATTAATTTAGGTTGATGAAGTAACACTCATACACTAATAATAATTGCACAATTTATTGTTATTTTTATTTTAAATTCTTCTAAGTACTCATTTGACTTTGTATGTCTCTAATTGCAAAATAAGTGCAAAAATTAAAAAGTTATTATTTTGAGAATAATATACATTACGAAGAAACTAACAAGATGTCATGAAAAATATTTGTTATGAATAAAATTATTAGTAAATGTAATATCAATATTTTACACTAGTAACACTACCAATGAAAAATTGAAAATGATAAGAGCCGTTACTTGATTGGCAAATATGATGAGAGTAAGATTCTAACCTTCTAGAAAGCTGACAATGTATTATATATGTATGTTTGTTTGTCTAAGAATTAGGCATGCCCACATTTGAATAAACCCCATTAAATGGGCAAAAAGTCAGAGAATTAAGGGACATGTTAGTTGGTACATCAATTCCTAATGCTCATGACATGTACGTGATAATGTACCCGTTCTTTAATCATATAATTCTTCGTTAATTAGTTCATAAATTAACTGTATTTGGCCGGTTTGCTAATTAATGCAACTGAATTAGTATAACAAATTCTTTAATTACTATCTTAATAGTACTATTTATTTGGAGAAAATATATATCTCTAGTTGATGATATTGTGGATTATGAATGAAATAATTCTGTGAATTAGAGCACCTAATTGATTTGAAGGTTGTAATTATGACTAAAAAAATATAAGTGTTGACTAATCATTATGACATTTTGGAAGAAAATAAGATTCAATCAAGTTTTGTAGCATAGGTTAATTAAGTGAGTTTGGTGAATTTCTATAATTAAGATGAACTTTAAGACTAGGTAAGATTAATTTGTTACTAATGGTGGACAAAAATTAGGGTCACTTACTTGAAGGATCGGGGATTGACTAGTAGAAACTACTCCAAGAGAGAAGTATGACTCTATTTCTCGATTGATAGAAATGAAGAATCTAAAAGGTTGAATCACCAACCTTCCTTATTTAACCAAAATTTGAAATGTCTAAAAATCAGGATAGAATCTCGACCTCTAGTATTTTCTATTCTACTCATAATAAATAAATAAATAAAATATAAATATAATTTTTTTTTTAAAAAAAAATTTCCCAAAATTAATTAAGTAAATTTATAAAGAAAATTTAAAGTCCAAATGATTATGTATTAGGAATAGGTGGAAATCGGACACAACCAAAATTTAATTAAAATTTTGATGCTAGTTAAGTGATTGTCTTTGTAACCTTATAAAATCACGGAGAATAATATACTACTAGTATTCAATATCAACACTTCATTTCCAAAGTGGATAAAATCTAATTTTGGATTTTCTTGAGCACTAAACAATACGAGATTACGAGTACAATATTTTTAAAATTAAAAAAATTACATATAAGCCCATTTTAAATATGACTAAATACTCATGTAAAAATGAACAGAGAAAGTAACTGAGTAATCAATACTCGTATTGTATGGTTAAATGATAGATGACATACAATAGCAGTACTCTAAGTAAATTACACTCTCTAAATGTGTTTCACACCATTAGCACTAATTAGTGAACCATATGGCAAGCAACAAAATAAAGGTAAAGGGTGTAATGATACAAATCCACAACTAATGTTGTAAAGAAAGTGGCATGTTAGCTTAATTAGTGCATAATTTTATTGATGTAAAAAGATTAACTGACTTATTACTTTTCCCAAGAACATAATAACTAGTCATCACTAAAATTTTAGTGATGATTACTTTCATTTAGGACGGAGCAGTAATCCACATAACTGTCCAATATCATCATATATTCTTTAATTTGCTTGTACATAAATGGAAGTGGTTGTCAATTAACACATTTAACCCAAACTCCACCATCACATATAATTATTGTTGATAGATATTGTTGTCAAGCACTTTTCAAGTTTTGAGTATAACATTAACATATCCTTACAAGAGACTAAAATAAGAGAGTGTTAAGATAGAATATATCTTATTAGGAGATAATATATTTTAGGTATACAATTATATCATATTATATCTTAGGATATCTTGAGATCTTGGGAATATTATCTTAGTTAGGTAAATTATTTCCCAAGGATTGTATTCATATAAATATCGATTTACTGATGAATGAGAAGATTGGAACTTTGTGAATTAATTTGACATGGTATCACAGCCAAGGTTCAATTCCTAAATTTTTTTTTTCCTCCTAAACGTGAGTAATGAGTGAGAAAATACCAGTTGATTTAACTCATTATCTTGGGTCGAGTGATAACCCAGGTAGTGTAATCACGCCTATTCAATTGCGTGGCGGAAATTACGATGAGTGGGCACAAGAAATCAGAAGGTCCTTGATGGCTAAACGAAAGTTTGGATTCGTGGATGGCACAATCAAACAGCCTACGGATGCCACGAAATTGGAAGATTGGATTGCGGTGCAGTCGATGTTGGTATCATGGATTACTAACACTCTTGATGCGAAGCTTCGTCCTACAATTGGTGACTATGATGATGCTAGTGTATCGTGGACGAATTTGAAGAATCGATTTTGTGTCGTGAGTGGTACACGTGTGTGCCAATTAAAGAACGCCTTGGGGGAGTGCAAGTAGGCCTCGCAAGAGTCGATGGCTGATTATTTTGGGCGGTTGTCGAAGGTGTGGAAAGAGCTCCTCACGTTTATTCGAGTTCCCAAGTGTTCATGTGGGAAGTGTACGTGCAATATAATTGCACAGGTGGAGGAGATTAGGGAGGAGGATTACCTTCATTATTTTTTAATTGGGTTAGAAGAACATTATGCTCCGATTAGAGCACAACTTCTAGCTCAATTACCTCTTCCGACGGTTGATGTTGCTTACCAAAATGTGGTGATGACAGAGAGGCTTCGTGCTGGAGGTTTGAACAAGGAAAACAAGGAATCTACCGTGGCGTTTCGGGTGGATGCAAAGACGAAATCGACGTTTGTTGACACAAGTAATCTGTTTTGTGATCATTGCAATCGTCAAGGCCATGATAAGAAAGGTTGTTTTCAACTAATTGGCTACCCCGAGTGGTGGGGTGAGAGAGGCCGTGGCGGCAGGGGTCGTGGCCGAGGTGGAGGACGTGGCAGCGATGGTCGGGGGTCACGTAACAGTGGCAGCAGTGGCTCGGCATCGTCTGGCGCATCCAAGCAGAATTATGTGCGTGCAAACAAAGTGGCGAGTGGATCGTCTAATGGGAAACAATCGTCTGTCTCTCCGGAGGATGCATCAGGTTTAGTGGGTGTGAATGCTACCCAAATTCAACAAATTTTGGATATCTTAAATCCAAAATCTAGACAATTACATGGTAAGGAAAATTCGATTCCTTGGATTGTAGATACGGGGGCATCAAATCATGTCACATGTGATTTTTCTGTCCTCATTAATGTGAAGAGAGTTCAAACTTGTCCCATTGGTTTGACCGATGGAAATTCAGCTAACGCGGATCCATTGGGAACGGTGATATTGCCGGGGGGATTGAGATTTGACAATGTTCTTTATGTTCCTCAATTAACTTGCAATTTAATATTTGTAACTCAATTGAGTGATGAGTCTAATTGTACAATGCAATTTACTAACAAAATATGTGTTATACAGGACCTGCAAACGAGGACGGTGATTGGTGCGGGTGAACGCGTAGATGGACTGTATTTTTTTCCGTGGTGTTCCTCAAGTGAAGGTCTTAGCAGTGGATAGCAAGTCTACATTTGATTTGTGGCATCAACGGATGGGTCACCCTTCAGACACGGTGTTGAAGATGCTTCCGACTGTGAGTAGTTCTCCTAGGAGTCATAATAATAAAGCATGTAATGTGTGTCCTCGTGCTAAAAAATCTAGATGTAGCTTTCCTATTAGTGAGAATAAGGCAAGTCGTGTATTCGAACTTGTTCATATAGATTTGTGGGGTTCGTATAAAACTCCCTCTACTTGTGGTGCACATTATTTTTTAACAATAGTTGATGATTTTTCTAGAGAAGTGTGGATTTATTTATTGAAAAATAAAACTGAGGTTGAAAGGATGTTCTTGAATTTTATTGCTATGATTAAACGTCAATTTGGTCAAGTGATAAAAATTATTAGAAGTGATAATGGAACGGAATTTAATTCCTTGCGTGATTATTTTTTCACAAATGGCATATTATTTGAGACATCGTGTGTGGGAACCCCCCAACAAAATGGGAGAGTTGAGAGGAAACATCAACATATATTAAATGTGGCACGGGCATTGAGATTTCAAGGGAATTTGCCGTTAGAATTTTGGGGAGAATGTATTTTATCGGCTTGTCATTTAATAAATAGAACCCCGACACCTCTACTTGAAAATAAAACCCCATTTGAAATCTTGTTTAATAAACCTCCATCATATGATTATGTTCGTGTTTTGGGTTGCCTATGCTATGCTCATAATCAACGGTGTAAAGGAGACAAATTTGTTAGTCGGAGTAGAAAATGTGTGTTTTTGGGATACCCATTTGGGAAGAAGGGATGGCGAGTGCTTGACTTAGAAACCAATGAAATATTTGTATCCCGTGATGTACGATTTTTTGAGAATATTTTTCCCTACATTGAACCCAAAAATACAACTTCACCTAGGGAGTGTCAAGTGCCTTTATCGGATGAGTATTTTAGTGACGATGAGTGGCTCGTTGGAGGGCATGAGGTGTGTCCAAGGGAGGCAGTAGGGGACGCAGCTAGGCTGCGGCATGATGTGGCAGACCGCAATCCACCTGCGGACAGGCCTGCCAGCGACCCAGCAGCCTATGATCAGCAAGCTGGGAAGCCAGCAGTAGCTGGCGCAGGCAGGCAGCAGCAAGCCGAGCACACGCAGCAGCGGCAGCAGGTGTGTCAAGGTGAGGGAGCTGTTGTGGTGCGTGAACAAGAGGTCCGTGAGCAGGAGGGAAGCGTTGAGGATTTGGGAAAAGGAAAACAGACAAAGATTCCGTCAACTAAATTTCGTGATTTTGTGACACATACAATACGGAAAAACAGTTCATCTAGCAATGCTTCACCTATATCATCCTCCTCAGGTACTCCTTATCCTCTCACATATTTTGTTGATTGCTCACGTTTTTCAGAAAAGCATAAAAAGTACATTGCAGCTTTAACAGCAGGTAATGAGCCTAAAAATTTTAAAGAGGCTATGAAGCATCTAGGGTGGAGAGAAGCAATGGCTGCAGAGATCAAGGCTCTAGAAGAGAAAGGTACATGGGTTCTTGAGAAGCTTCCGCCGGGCAAGAAAGCTCTTGGTAGCAAATGGGTGTATACGGAGAAACGTGATGAACATGGTAAAATTCTGAGATTGAAGGCAAGATTAGTCATCTTGGGTAACCACCAAGTTGAAGGTCTACATTATAATGAGACATTTGCACCAGTAGCTTAAATGGCGACAGTTCGAACTTTTCTGGCAGTGGCAGTTGTGAAAAACTGGGAAGTACATCAGATTGATGTGCATAATGCATTTTTGCATGGTGACTTACAGGAAGAAATATATATATGAAAATACCCCCTGGTTTTAACAAAAATAATTCTGAATATGTCTGCAGGATGAAGAAATTGCTATATGGCCTCAGGCAAGCTCCTAGATGTTGGTTTGCCAAATTGACGACAACATTGAAGAAATATGGATTTAAACAAAATTATTCTGATTATTCTTTGTTCACATTGACCAAAGGAAAATTACAGTTGTATGTTTTGATCTATGTTGATTTAATTGTTGCAGGGAACGATAAAGTTGCCTTGTCACAGTTCAAGGCATACTTGGGAAACTGTTTTAAGATGAAGGACTTGAGAGCTTTGACATATTTCTTAGGACTTGAGGTTGCTAGAAGCAATCAAGGGTTCTACATTTGTCAACGAAAATATGCTCCTGATATCATTTCTGAGACTGGGTTGTTAGGTGCTAAGCCTGCCGATTTTCCTATGGAACAAAATCATAAACTAGCTCTTGCGGAAGGCAGAGTGTTGGAGGATGTGGAGAAATATAGACGTCTTGTTGGACGTTTAATTTACTTATCGGTGACTAGACCGGAATTGGTATATTCCGTTCATATATTGTCTCAGTTTATGCGGACTCCGAAAGAGAAACATTGGGATGCGGCACTTCGTGTGGTGCGCTACTTAAAGAAAAATCCGGGACAGGGAATTCTTCTTCGATCCGACAGTGCACTGAGGTTAGAGGGGTGGTGTGACTCTGATTGGGCGAGTTGTCCTCTAACTAGGAGGTCATTGATTGGTTTGTGCTACTTGGTTTTTTCCCCGGTGTCCTGGAAAACTAAGAAGCAACCTACGGTTTCTACATACATCGTCTTCGGAGGCGGAGTATAGGTCAATGGCGGCCGTGACATGTGAATTGAAGTGGTTGAAACAAGTCCTACGAGACTTGGGTGTGCAACATTCGCAGGGTATGAAATTATTTTGTGATAGTCAGTCGGCTTGTACATTGCACAAAACCCGGTATTCCATGAAAGAACGAAACATATTGAGGTTGATTATGCATTTAGTGAGAGATGCAATTACAGATGGTTTGATTTCGCCATCTTATGTTCCTACGAAGGAACAACTTGCAGACATTTTTACTAAGGCCTTGGGAAAGGCTCAGTTTGAGACACTACTTAGCAAGATGGGCATTCGGGATCTTTATGCTCCATCTTGAGGGGGGATGTTAAGATAGAATATATCTTATTAGGAAGATAATATATTTTAGGTATATAATTACATCATATTATATCTTAGGATATCTTGAGATCTTGGGAATATTATCTTAGTTAGGTAAATTATTTCCCAAGGATTGTATTCATATAAATATCGATTTACTGATGAATGAGAAGATTGGAACTTTGTGAATTAATTTGACAGAGAGTAGTAATGAATGTTACATGATAATATGATGTATATCTATACTATTTATATGTTATTGAGTATGAATAAATATCTATGCAGTAACAACATGATAACATGATGTATATATAAGGTATCTAAATATAAAATCATAGAAATTATACATCATTTTTCATATTTCTCTTTGATAAAAGTTTGAAAAATACAAGCTTAAGCCGTTTTTTGACCATACAGTATTCACTATTTACATCATTTTTCTTTCTTAAGAGTATTATGTTCTTTAATTTAAGCTGTTAGTCAAAATTAAACTCCACAACTAATTAAAAAATTAACACCTTTGTAGTTTGCATGTATGTATATGTATATGTATGTATGTATGTACATATTATGCTCGAATTGAAGTGATGTATTCTGATTTCTTCATCTATGGAAACCAGGGGAATCCGTATCATTGACAAGCCTCCTATGTAAATTGTTGTGTCTATCTCTATTTCCATCTCTACTTTTCCTTTCTTTAACTTGGTTTACGTATTCTTTCTTTTCGCCATCTTTTGGTACAACGTACACAAAATGGCTCGGAATGTCGTTCATCTCCAATAGTGGCTCCAAAGTCTTAACCACTAGACCCATAGTAGGCCGCGACTTGGGGTTGTGGCTTAGGCATTGATAGGCTAACATAGTGGTTATCTTAGCCCCTTGGACTGAGTATTGACCCTCAAGCCTAGGGTCCATGATTATATCGAGTTTTCGTGGATTCTTAAGGAGTGGCCTAGCCCATTCCACTAGGCAATGCTCTCTTCTTGGACGAATCTTGTCCATGCATCTTTTTCCGGTCAATAACTCTAGAAGAACAACCCCGAAACTGTATACATCACTCATCGTTGTCAAATGACCTGAAAATTTAATATTATGGAATATGTTAGAATATTGACAATTTTATTAGTGGTTAGAATAGGTATGTCTTGCTTGCTACGAAAAACCATAATATTTGCAACGTATTATGTGACTTAATAATATTAGCACTAATCGTCAAACGTTAATTGTAATTAAAATTTGTAATTCAAATATATTAAATTACTAATTACCTGTCATGACATATTCTGGTGCAACATAGCCTTTGGTGCCAAGAATGTGTTCAGTAGTTACATGGCTTTTATCTCCTTCTGGCCCATCTCTTGCATACCCAAAATCTGACAGCTTTGCTTTGAAATTCTATACCATAAAAAACAAAACTAGTAAGAAAAATGAACCAAAGACTTTAAAGATCGTGTCAGTTGTGAAATGAAATTAAACGAAGAGTCGAGTAATTTAATAAAACCAAATAACCATACTAAGTCAAAGTTGAAAGAAATTTGAGAGCTTACAGAATCTAAGAGTATATTTGCAGCTTGAAATCCCTCAAAATCACAGGCTTATTAGCTTCATGTAGGAATGCAAGGCCTTTTAGCAGCCCCGAGCGCGATTTTCATCCTTGTCAACCATGGTAAGGCAACAGAGCACCCTGCATTCATATCAAAATGTTAGAAAAATATACAAATTTTGAATTTAGTGAATTACTGGAGTAATTTTTTTTTTTAATATAAAATTAAAAAATATTATATACTTACTTCTGAATAATTGGTTGTCCAAATTACCCCTAGCCATATATTCATAAACAAGAACTCTTTGTTCATTTTCACAGCAATATCCAATCAATTTTACCAAATGAGGGTGCCTCAACTGACCAAGAAATATAACTTCAGCCTGAAAATTAATTTTCAAAACTATATATTAGCCAAATGTTATAAATACAAATGTGACATATATAATATGATTTTTTTTTCCGGTGGTAAAAATAAATTACCAGCCACTCTCTATGTCCTTGAGAACCTTCCAAATCCAAGACCTTAATAGCAACAGTTTGAGCTTTTAAACGGGTCTAAGCTTATCATCAATAAACCCTTTATAAACTGCTCCGAAACCGCCTTCTCCAATGAAGTTGCTGGTATAAGAGAAGTTGTTAGAGATAATCCTGAGTTCATCAACTGTGAATACTTGAAGATTTGACCCGATCAACGAGCTCGAAAGATCGTTGATCGAGATCTCCGAATTCGGGTTGCTAATGTCTGAGATGGATAGCCTTTGGTGGAGAACTTGGTACTACTCTTTGTGGAATAGTTTTAGTTCTTGTTATGAGTTTAGGTTTTGATTGTGATCTTTTTGGTTTAAAGCAACTAGGTAAAATGGTGTCCCATGTAATAATCTTCTTAGAACTCATTGTGTGTTTTTTTTGGAATTTGTGTTGATTTGATGCTAATTTTGATGTGAGATATATATGATTTTGGGTAATTGGTTTGTTTGTTTGTTTTTAGAGTAGTTATGAAATATGGTTGTTGAAAAAATGCACCTAATTGTGCTAATATTTATAGACAAACAAGTTGTGAAAGGAGAAACTTTGTGCGTCTATAGGTTTGACTTTGGCCTCCTTCCTCTTCCCCCACTCCCTTGAATTTCTTGTTGATCAAGCTGGATTAAGTGTTTAATTAATCAACAAGGAAATTTAAATTATTACTAACAAGCTAGGTTGGTATATAGAATAAGATCGAGTGATGACTATCAGCTAGATATCACTAATATTATTGGGTGAATATGTCTATTTATGTAGGTTTTTTCTCTTTTTTGTTCTGAAGAAAAAACTAATTGCAGTTTGTTTTATTAGCTGCCTAACTTGTTACTCCGTATGTAGATAGACTTCTTAAATTATATAATAAAATATTAAAGTTAACTCTTTTTCTACATATAAATTAAAATTACTATTTTCCATCTAATAACAGAGTAACTATTTTTGATATGTAAAGGTCATTAAATAAAGTATTTTCATTTTTAAAATTTGTATGGTACATGATGGAGCAACAAGGATACTTTCTCATAGCTAAGGTGATGATGTAAATGTGATGGTGTGTGAGAACTCTTGCTAACTAGGTGTGTGAAAGGCAAGAATTCTCACCACCAATTCAAAACAAGGTTTTCTTTATTTAATTGTGCGCATGACAAATTAATTAATTGAACCTACTTATTAAAAATTAAACCATTTTTCAAAAATTAATACAACACGTTCATAACATTTCAGTTATGTGATACTCAAATCCACTTAATAATATCTAGCTTCGCCATTGCCAGCTATTGAGCTTCAATGCTTCATTCATCTACATACATATATTATATTAGTCACTAACATTAATGTATTCTTGTTTACATGTAGAAGTAATTGTGCTTAAATTTGCAAATGACCTAGTCTCATTCAATTCAATTTTATTGATTAATATATTTTGTTTTCTCCTTATTTTAGGGAATTTGAGAAAAATACTCCAACAAATAAGACAAATATAGTATTTATACGCGTATCAGCGTATGTTAATGTTAAAGCCAAAAAAGCTTGAGGAATAATAATGTCTAAAACAAACTAAAATAAAGCCAGTAAATATAATAGAAGTTTCTAATGATAAGTAATGGCCCATACAATTATAGCTAAAAAAATATAGTTGACTTTGACTGGCTAATTATCCAGAAATATTGAGTCTAAAAATTGTTGCTAAAATAAAAAAAAGTAGTCAAGTGCAATATGAAATCCCGTGTAAAAATAGTGCTTACTTTCGTTACCATGTGGCATTTGGATATACACGCTAGTTGCTTAAGAAAAAGTTCTTCTGCCCGTAGTTTTGTCGTTAAATTATTTCTCAAAAATTTAAAGTATGTAATCCAATTAAACTTTCCAAAATTATAGTGAAACCAATGTTCTAACTAATGAAGAATTGGTATTAACATTTTCCACTTGCAAATTATTATATCTGAAATTCCTACATGGCAAAATCACAACAGAGCTAGAGTACAATATTGTTATCCTCGGAAATGTATATATTACTCTTTTTGTCTCAAATTGCATGAAAATTTTATGTTAGTCGTTCTTAAATTAACAATCATTGTATTAATTTTTTATTGGTTGTATTTTTTTTTTAAATGTCAAAATTAATTTTTCTTCTTATTTTTGTATTTTTATATATTTTTCATAATATTAAAAAAAAAAAAATTAAAAAAAAAATTAAAAAAAAAAAAACACTTTGCAAAGCGTACTCTCGTGTGGTTACGACTTATTACGAGTGTGTCTCAGGGCTCAATAGAGGAGAGGCCTGACACTTCTGTATATACTCTTTCAAATTGTTGTTTCATTTATTTATTATACATTCTTCCATAAAATGGTTTAATTATTTGTATATGTCATTATAAATGTAGATAGTATTGACCAACTATTGATTTGATCAAGGAATATAACTTTGTATCACTATTAATAATAATACTTCGTATGTAGTTCAATCATTTTCTTTCTTCTTCTAGTATTTTTGTCTTTCTGTTGTTATGTTA